TCTCCAGGGGAGATGCCCAAGTGAAGATCGTGAGGAAGAAAGCAAGGTCAAAGAAGCCGCAGGTGAAGAAGGTGAAGCCGGATGTCAAAGAGAAGGGCAAGCAGGATGTCGAAATGGCCGCAGTCGGGCATGATGTGGAGCATGCCATTGACGTGGACATGGAGGTTGGTCTGACAATGGGAAAGGGGAAGTCCAAGGGTGGTATCGACATAGAGATGGCCGAAGTCAAACATGAGGAAACCGAGGTCGGTGCCATTCCAAAAGCCGACAAAGATGTGGGCCGGGTGACTCCCACCATAATCATTGAGCCACCCACACCACACACATCGGCGATTTTCAAGAGTACTGAGACCGAGGTCGGTACCAACACTGACAAAGGAAAGGGCCGGGAGATTGGGCCGCCAGCCAGTGAGATGGAGTGGATCGTGCCCGAGTTAGCAATGCGGCCGGGTAAAAAATTCATGAAACTCGTTATTCTTTGCTGACTTCGTTTATAGAATTGGGCTTGGCTGTCAATTATATCCAACAAAGCTTTACACCCCCACCTGTTGAGCGCACGTCCTGGCCAGAAGGTTCGCGTTCGGTATCTCATTCTCGGCAGGTCAGCCCACCAGATCCCAAGGAGGTTCATCGTAAGTTTCAAGTTGTTTTCTCATTTCCCATGATTCTCAACTTGAAAACTTAGTTGACATGGCGCTCTATCAGAAGAAGATTGACTTTAGGTCCTTGAGCCCCCCACCGAACTTCGACATGCAGACGATGCAGCAGGAGATCAGAAGACTTGCTCATGGCCAAGCCGACCTCCTGCAGAAACTCCGAGACCAACAAGCGCAAGTCAGTGTCATGGAGTCGTCTACCCCTACTATGCGAGAGTATTCAGCATTTGTGGTCCGAAAACAAGATATTGACGCAAGTGCCCTTCTCCCCCCGGCGGTTGACTCACCCGTGACCCTGTCACAACGTCTTTTGGTGCTCGAAGAGATTACCCGGTTTATTCAAGATCAAGATTTGGCTAGCCGTCCTCTGTCGGAGAAAATTGCAAGTCTAGAGACCTCCGTTTGGTTTCAGGAAGAAAAAATCACCGGAGCGACTCGCCGGATGGACCGTATTGAAGAGTCTGCCCACATGCGTTGGAAGGAAACACAAGAAGATTTGCAGTCCATCCGAAGTGATCACCAGAGACTGGAAGCCGAGGTGAGGGAAGCTGTCAAGACACTGGAGAACAAGTGGGAGACTACGCCAGCTGCGTTACAAGAGAGTCTCACCCGAGGCTTTGAGAAACTTGCAAGCCGCATCGAAACTGCCGAGCTAATGCTCCACGACCTCACCAAATCAGTCACTACTATTTCGGAGCTCAACCTGTGGCTCGGTGCTCGCCAATCAAGTCTGGAATCGCTCATTATCCAGTTCCTCGGCAACAAGGAGAAGAAGCACACTGGCATCAATACCGATCGCTCAGTCTCACCCGACCGCAGTCAGAAAAGCCAGCAGGTACAAGTCTCCCCGACCCCGGGTGTCGTTCTGCCAAACCCAGTTTCAACCAATCACGCGCAAGTCTCTCCAACCCCGGCCGTCTTTCTGCCTCCAGCATCTGAGAGCCCAGCGGTCCTTCTGTTGGCGCCAAACCCAATTCCTCCAACCTGGGCAAGTTTGCCTGGTCCTTACATTGGGGGTAATAGGAAGTCACCTCAGCTACAGAAACTCGAACCCACACTTCAAACCCCAGCACAGAGTAAGTCTTCTACTTGGTGAGGATTCAAAAATCTGACTGCCAGCAAGTTACAAACAATGATGTCCAAACTGTCCAAACTCCGTCTACTTAATAGTTAGTAGCATACATGTATATTTTTTGGACAATCTTCAATTTTTTTTTGGGCATATTTAATATGAAGTCCTGTGGTGGACATAATAATGAAAGCAGTAAGGCCTCGGCTTCTTTCACGACCCAGTAAACTGTGACCGGCAGAGAAAAGCGGGGGGATCTTGGAGCAACTTTGTCCAATGGAGACCGGCATAGTAACAGCTTGGCGTTTATTTCAGGCAGCCGAGTGCGGTTGTTTGAGCCAGACCCGTTCCAACATGGGTATGTTTACAAGAAACATTGGTTGGCATAAACTTGGTAGGGATTTTGAACCAGGGGTGTGCATAATATATCTCACTGCCTTGTGAACGTCACCATGCTCAGCTTCTTGGGAAGTCATGGACCCAGTAAACTGCATGACCGAATACTGGACCATGACCGGCAAAGAAAAGCCGAGGTAATGTTTGAGCAACTTGGCAAATAAAACCTGAGTGAAGACGAAACTCGGCCGTATAGTGTCAACTGGATGGGACCAGGTTGGGCTGATCCACACTGCATGGGATTCAAAGCTCTTCAGCAGACCCATGACACATGAGCCCATTCCATGAAGAGACGGGTTGACCCAGGATCCAAGGCATATTTAATTCATGGGGTACTAGCTGACTGACCATGTCACCGTGCTTGGCTTCTTGGTAGGTGATGGACCCGACCCAGTAAACTGCATGATGACCGGCAATGAAAAGCCGAGGTAAACTTGGCAAATAAAAATGAGATGGCTGTGGGCTGATCCACAATGCATGGGATTTAGAGCTCTTCAGCTGACCCATGACACATGTTGAGCCCAATCCATGAAGAGATCGGTTGACCCAGGATCCAAGGCATTTTTAGCTATGTCAATTCATGGGGTACACTTCTCAGCCGATGCACAGTACCAGTCCTAAGAGAGTCTTGATGGCCGGTCCACCTTTGATGGGGTCAACTGATCCATGGGCTCATCAGCAGGCACCATCAACTATGGTCTGTTTGTATGGTCGGGGGGCTCAGTATTAGTGGGGTAAGGTAAGTAATACTAGTGGCCTCTGAGGATACGAAGTCGAAGCTATTTTAG